ATGGGCTGGGGGAGGGAGGAGAAGGGGACTGCAGCAGGTTGGTGGAGCTGTGGGGGATGGGATCAGGACATTGTCTTTCGAATCTGCAGTAGAACTCATTCAGCTCGTCTGCCAGGCGGAGGTCATTCATGGAGTGGGGTTTTTTTGGCTTGTAGTTATTGAGGTGTTTGAGGCCTCTCCAAGCCGAAGCAGAGTCACTTGCTGAGAACTGTTGTTGGAGTTTCTCAGAGTACAGTCGTTTAGCATCTCTCACCGCCTTGCTAAACTTGTATTTTGCTTCTGTGTACAAGTCTTTGTCCCCACTCCTGAATGCCTAATACTTCTGCAGGCGTAGTGTTCTGAGTTCCGCTGTGAACCAGGGTTTGTCGTTGTTGTAACTCACCCTGGTGCATGATGGTATACAGCTGTCCTCACAGAAGCCGATGTAGGAAGTTACAGCCTCTGTGAACTCATCCAGACTGTCAGTAGCAGTCCTGAAAACATCCCAGTCTGTGCAGTCAAAGCACGCCCGAAGATCCTCCAGCGCCTCACTGGTCCACTTCTTGAATTCCCTCACCACAGGTTTGCAGAGCTTTAGTTTCTGCCTGTATGCAGGAATCAGATGGACCATGACGTGGTCAGAGTGTCCCAGTGCAGCACGAGGGACGGCGTGATAAGCCCTGCTTACTGTGGTGTAACAGTGATCCAGAGTGTTCTAATCTCTGGTGGGGCATTTAATAAACTGCCCCACCAGAGAGGAGAACACGCCGGAACACTGTTTCACTGTAGATGATTGAAAGAAGGAAGGAAAGAAAGAAAGTATGAAGAGAAACCCTACTGATAAATTCTTTTTTAGAGGTAGAGAAGAGTGCGGAGACAGCCGAGTTGGTTGAGAGTGCTTGGCACTTAACAGGGACCAATAAATAGGTAGCTTCGCATTTGTTATTTTGAGCTAGTGCACCATGTCATAAAAAAAAATAAAAAAAAGTGGATTTGCTCCTCAGTCGGCAGCTCCTCCCGCTTATTGTATCTATATGTCGGTGTGCCGTGTGATTTTGATTCTCGATATTGGGTGACATTAAAAAGGTACTTCGAGTTCTCCTGGACGAGTTTGTTTGTTTCTTAACCAAATCAACTCTAAAGCTCATACTGTCATTTGTGAGTATAAAGGCTGGGCACCGTGTTCTGACAAATTCAATAAACTGAAAAAACGCCTCAGGATCACAGGCACGTTCAAACTTCAAACAAATCTACTAGAACCTCCCGATGCCGGCAACGTTGACCTATTTCCAGAGAGAAGTTGGGCACAGGCTCTCACCTGGCGTACAGAACCTATGCACCTGGAACATTTTAAAAAAACGAGGCTTCATCACACATTTTTTCTACAAGCTCATGCACGTCAGACCCCTGTCCAGCCAACCTTTCGGCGCTCACATGCAGGTGGGTGGGAACGGGGAGGGGGGAACTTTTGATGAACGTCTGCGATGTCCAAGTTTAAACAAGCAAGCAGGAGACAGATTTAGGTCCCAATTTTGCAAAGTGATGCATGATTCAATTCTCTTTCTTTCTGCGTCAGCAGACATCAAGGGGCTCAATATTTGCTTGCGGAAAGTATCGGCGAGTAACGCCCTGGCTGCCGAAGCTCTCCTTGTGACTCTCTGAATGATGTGAAGCTTCGGAAGGCGCTGACAGGTTTGACGAGTCGCCTCTCTGAGACCTGAGAACTAGCGGTGAGAGCGAGCCGTATGCTGAGCCCGAGCCAGTGTTAGTCAGGGGAGCGCAGGTCCGCTCCGGGGCAGGAGGGGTTGGTCTTAAGGCTTTGTCCACATGTTACCACAGCTGATTGCTCCATCGGATGGTTGGGATTCTCGACTAAGACAGGGATTACTGACCCATGTCAGTTTCCCACCTTTACAGCAGTCGCCCGGCCCCTTCTGACGCTACCAGAGGGTTGAAGGGATGTCTGCGTCTGTGCCTCATTTAATCCATGCTTGTGACTAAAACCATGAAGAGGTAACTTCAATATCTCTTTCAACAGATAGAGACAACAGTTTTATCTGCAAGATGATGATGATGATGTTTCCTTTTGTAACAAAAAAACAAAAGGAAATATGGTGCGCTCAGTCATGCCGGGATGCTGCTGAATACAAACGCATAGTTTGCTTCCATTTACATGACAAATTCTTTTAAAAATCACATTTTGAAACAGGCTGCTGATGATCTGAAGGCAATTTGACTCCAATAGACCAGCTGGCACATTGTCGCCTCTGTTATTAATCGCACAATTACAACACAACTACATGATGGTTATTAATAATCATAAAGACAATTCATGAAATACATAAATGACAGGGCACCCCCCTTAAAGGGACTAATAACCAAACTATAAATCCAATCTCATAATTTATATTCACTCATTAAGAGTGAGAAATTGAAGTATTAAGTTCGAACACACTATGCTTCCAGCCACCATTACAGCACATGCACAGTATCACAGACAACTGCTCTTTAAAGTATAACACAATTACCACAATACTAATCAGATCAATACTATTTAAAATCAGCAATGCAGATGGAACTGTTTGGCACAAAATTATCCCAAAAGAAAAATTCTGGCAAACCCGCCTGAACTGTCTGTACTAAAATAATCTCTCAAAATGTGTCCTTCAAAATTGCCCTTTGCAGAGAGAAGGTTAAGATATTGTGCTATGATCTGGTGGAGGTTTGCAGTCATAATATTAGAATTCCAAATGGATAATCATCCTGAAAGTGCTTTTCATTTCAGGCAAAAGTAAACTTTTTTGTGTAGTGTGCCATCTTCATTTTATCTTAACCTGCAACATATATACTGATATTTACACATCTGGAAAACCTCACAAGTATTCCCTTTATTATGACACCCAGATAATTCAAATAGATCTAATGGTTTCAGAGATTTAACCTTTTTTATCATGGGTATGGAATTTTCAACGTTTGTTTACGTTCATATGTATACTTTCTTATATGTGTTTATATGAATAATTGTACATGGTGTTTATTCTTATCTCTACTTTTTATATGTATATGTATATACACACACAGAAAGACACCATGGGAAAATTCTTTTAGAAATGCTTTCCTTGCAGCTTGTTGGCATAAGATCTGACACGCACTATGGACTATATTTTTAACTCGGCTTTGAGTTAAAGCGGCAAATCATTTAAATTATGGCATTTTATTTATTGTATTCTTGGACAAATGAGGCCTTCCAACTTGAACATACCAGCTATCATTTTCGGTAAAAACAGAAGTGCCACATCCATATTCTGCCGATTGAATGCAATACATAACCTTTTGGATTAAATGACCCCCCCCCCCTCGTCTGACAACTCAATAGTTGTCACTGCACTGTACAGTGTACAATCGAGTTGTTTACTTTCACATTTTTACTTTATTTTTACATTTTATTTTTTCATATTTTTACTTTCAATAGCTAACATTCCAGCCCACAGTGCACAATGAAGCCATCTCATTTTGCTTTGTCACAGGCTGAAGTTCCCTTTGTGTCAGGATGGTTAGTCTAAGAGACAGACAGAGCCAGCCAAGAGAGGAGTTTGGTCTGTCCGTCAGACTCTAATGTCTCCACACAACAGCCCAAACCCAAACTGACAGCTACACACCATACTGACAGCGCACTAACAACACGCTATTGTTCCCTTGCAAATGGCCAAGACACACCTGTCAGAGCTCACAGAGAGAGACGGAGTGGCAGAGAGACAACCTCATTCTGTGGGCCTCAGCACACGTAGGAGTAATATACATATGTCACATATAGTCTAGGGTGGGTCCATGTGGGTAAAATATTCTATACATGCAGTTTTACTATGTGATCATATGAAAGACTTAAAGATATAAAAACAAAAACAAATGCTGACATCTATTCTATTGCCTCGATATTATGCAACACTGCCTTCAAACGATATAATACAAAGAGATATTTAAGAGTAACTCAAATACAAATTCTGGTCACTACAGCTCTAGTTCAGTGGGTACAGCTGCTTGCTCATTAACCGCAGGGTTGTTGGTTCGATCCTTGAATCGTTCATGTCTTGAGAATTGTTTGAAGATAATGGTCCATGTCAGTAAAATGTGAGCTTTTTACTGTCATGTCAAGTATATGGATTAAAACCAGGCAGCAACCTTTGCCTTTGAAAAGTGAAGCAAAGTTCCCTAAACTTGGTTGATTTATATTCAAATAAACCATAAAGAAGGGTAGTCCTTTGGTAGGTGCTACCTTGAGTTGACAGCTCGCTATTATAAAAAAAAGGCTTAAAAATAGCAGTTCACAAACCAATGGGTGAATTTTAAAAACCCATTGATAAAGATTTGACTTCTTTGTAAAATACAGTAGGATCAGCAGTTTGTTACTTAAGTGAGATTGCGCTTTACAACATGGTGAGGTCCATGATTTTCCCACTTGTTCAAAAATAATTTCACAATAGTGAAATTATTTTTGAACAATAGTAAATGAAAGTAATAGCTTCTAGTAGCATATTCTGGTCAATTTCTTCTCACAGTATATTATTATATTATACATATTATTACAGTAAGCAATCCTTTAAGGATTTGAATAGATATGTAAGCGTTTGACCTGCATACACACAAGCATGCTTAAGCACAACCCACAGATGTGTCTCCTCATGCACGCACTCACTCGCTTGAGGAACTGAGGCAACAGCCTGTCATCTCTGGGTGATATCCACTGGATGCCTTCCAAAAATATGTAATACCCTAAAGGCATATTTCGCATAAAAGTAAGCCTGCTGATGTTTTCCAATCTCTTTTCGAGCACAATCCAGCACGCAGCACTGTCAACATGCATCTTTTTAATGAGAAGGGAAATGGGATGTTGAGACATTTCTGATGCATCCCATTTCTTGCCATCAGCTCTTAAGTTTAGACCCTTTTGACTCTCAGATAGCACGTGAAAAGACATATAAATAATGCAGTTATATTAAAAGCTGTGTCATTCTATACCCTACCTTCTGTCGAATTTCTTCCTCCATCTTGATGGGGGAGCCGAACTCAGCAACCTGGCGGACACCCTCACTGGCGTAGCCCCCATATTCCCATAGCACATAGCCTCTGGAGTGAGAAGCACCAATCAGAGCTGACCAGTGGTTGGCCCGTCCTGAAAGACATTTCTTTTTTCATTCAGGTTTGAGTGGTTTGAATTCTGATAAGCAAGTCAAGAAAGGGGGTAGTGTCAGCTGATTGATTCAGCAGCTAGCTGGTTGCCTCATTTGATCCATATTATCATGATATATCAATTTCTGAGTTGGTCAATCGGCATATTGGTTTTATGTTGGGCAGGGAGTTAGGTACCGTACTTTTTACTGAGAGCGGTAACCTAGTGGAGGTTGCCAGGCAACCGGCCCAGAAATTGTCTTGAACCTAACGTCCCTTTTGACAAGTAAATTGTTGTTTTTAACACTTTGTCTTCCGTACGGATTAAAGAAGATGTGTACAATACGTTTGTTCACTTAAGGTGGCTCCAGGCTACTGTTTCTCTGCTTATAGTGATGCTCCTGAGCTAAGCTAACCAGCTGCTGACTGTAGGATGCTAAAACTTACTTTTGGACAAGGTCAACGTTCTGAACTCACTCGGGTAGTCTTTGGGATGTACTTTCTCTGACCAGTTGCCATAGAAGGTAAGTCTGTACTTTGCTGTTCCGCATGCACAGCATTCCATGGCAGGAGCTCCAGTAGCCTCGCCGAACACACGTTCTGCAGGGAGGTTGTACATAAACGTGAACAAGCTCAATTTTAAAAAGAGAATGCACAAGGCAAACGAATGTTAGAAAGCAGAGTTTAAGAACTTACAGGCAAACATATCTAAAAGTGTGCAAAATTTGACAGTAATGAACACCTGCATAAATTAGCAGTTAAATGATTACAAGTTGGACTCAGTCAGAATGTCACAACAATAAACATCCATGGAAAAAAAAAGTTAAATGACACATTAGCTTTGAGGCAGACTGAAATACTGGCCCTCATCAACGTTTTGAAAGGATAGGTCAAGGGGGGTACTTGAATATTTATGAGTCGCCAAATTATTCTAAAGAAAATCCTCACTTGACATCTAAGTTATAGCAGGATGAGAAAAATATCGGAGATGCCACACATATGTCAGCAGACGCAGACAGGGTGGCTTGATTGACTTGCATAGTAGCCTGGAAAATTAGATTTGGGTAAGGAGAGGACAATTTTATGAGTCTAAATCCCCTGAGATTGAGTTTGAAACACATGACTGGGTTCTGTTTTTATTGCACAATAAACGTGTGCTTAGAAGCTAAAAGATCCCCGTCGTCTTGCTAACTGTCTAACTGTTGTTTATGTGGGGGGTCCTCTCTCCAACTCTGGCGTGACACTTCCCTGCAGTAAAATCCCAGGTAACATAAAGGTAAAGATACAAAATAATATTTAAATACAGTAAATCCAGGAGATACATGATTCACAGTATCCCTCCAATGCCTCCATTGGGCTCTTTTTTTTGAGCAGGGTATAAAAGGCTGGGAGCTGTTCTGCTCTAAATGACAGGGGGAATTAAGAGTAGATGACGGGCAGCTGACATTACCTTTCTCACACAGTCGAATAGTGAGAGAGCCTTCATCCTGGAAATAAATGACCCTCTTCTGGACAATACTGGCCCTGAAGAGTGGGGAGGAGGGAAAAAAAGAGTTGGATAGTGAGAGAGGTGAAAAAACTGCATTGGATGGATAACAATGAAGAGTGTTTTTCCTATTCAGATCTGATCCATGTAATCCTTGGCGACAGGGAAAGGTAATGAGTTCCATGATGTTTCATGGCGGACATTGTGTCCATATCTTTTGCAAGGAAACAGGGCGATATTCTCAGGACCTCATGACTCAATCACACTGCAGCCGTACATGTGATGGAGCAATCATACCCACCGACACAAAGGAGAGACAGAGCTGGTATTAAATTCTAAAGCAGGATTAAGGAGAGGAGATCCCAATTATAATATATGAAGTAATACTGGCTGGAAAGGAAGCCATACCAATAAAAATAGGCTGTTTTACCAGAGGCAGTTACATTCCTCTTCAGTAAAAAAAGTTAATACATTTCTCATTTTGTTCAGACAAAGCTGTTTGATGCCACTCCTATGGAAAGAAGACTTTCCTAGGTTAAAAGCAACAATAAAGCCTTGCAACACTTACATTACACAATACATTTGTAACAGGTTAAGATTCCACTACAATTGCATACATCCCCAGTGCTTCTAATTTTTTTTGATGAATGTACATCAGTCGCCTTTCATTATAAGGAAGCAGCTTCAAACCAAACTAACCAGACCAAAGATTCTCTGTTTTTTTACATTACATTACAGGTCATTTAGCAGACGCTTTTATCCAAAGCGACTTACATTACACTTTTAAACCCATGGCTTTTTCACATTTTTGCCCAGGGAGCAATTAGGGGTTAGGTGTCTTGCTCAGGGACACTTCGACATGGAACATGGGGCAGCCTGGAATCGAACCACCAACCTTGTGCTTCCCAGCACACCTTCTCTAACCCCTGCGCCACGACGACCCCATAATTTATTATTAATTATGTTCTGACGTAACTTCATGACATTAAAACTGGTTGTAAAGGTTGAAATGGCTCGGCATCTGTCCTGCCTGAAGAGTGCTCATAGGAAATCTTATTTTCAGTTGATTAATAGCTGAACTTCTTATAGTTGTTGAATTTATGGTCCGGAAACAAATGAATAAATAACCACATCAAAGACAGAAATGCATAGAAAGGAGAAATATGTGTTTAAAAAAAGGTACAGATAACAAGTGGTTGCCAGTATGAACAGATACTTGTTCAATGGAGAGCCACTAGCTTTAAGGTCAGGAAAAACAACCCTAAACTATCCTACCATTATGTTCTCTCAAACCTCCCTCAACACAATGCTTCCACAATTCTATGTTCTCTCAGCCCTATGTTCCTTTATTGGTAAGTTCACTCAGATCAGTACAACTCAACTGTGCGATGCCATTCCTCTGATTATTTCAAAACCCCAATGCTGCAACACATCCTATCTCACTTCCCATGCCTAAACCTAACCAAATCAACTAAGTGAGTGCTGGCCTGACAGTCTGTCTTCAAATGTCTTCTGTCATCAAATACTGCTTGCGATATATCAAATATTGCTTGCGAGATATTAGCAAAAACGTATCTTAATAAGATAGGGCTATAGAAACAAGAGGTAATATATATAATTGGTGGTGAAGGAACATATTCCTAACTCCAAAAAAATAAACATAACAATGAAATTAGATAGTGACTTTTCACTGCTGAGTTAGGCCTGAAATATGACACTCAGCAGCAGTGAGTGCTGCAAAGTCAAAGAATAAGCAAGATTGTATTATATAAATATCTAAAATGTAGTAGGTGTTTTAATCCGAATAATGTACGTATTACGCATTTTTGTATTAGATATGTTGAAATATGAAGCAATTATGTGACTGCTATTTTTCTAAAAGCAGTTTTTGTGCTAAAGCGGCGAGCTCAAGTCTCTGAGAGACATATGAAAGTTTGAAAGTATAAAAATGAGCTGAAAAAGGTGACTGGGGAGAGTGAGGAGGTACTGCCGCCATTAAGATGGAGTAATCTGTTATATTGCTTCTTTAAATCTTGTGCGGACTGAATGATGCAATATACCCTGCAACATGGGTTGACTGCTTGGGCATGACATTGAAAAAGAAAAGAGAAATAAACAGAATTATTGAACTAAGTAAATTCTTTAAGAGTCTCAATTAGGCCAATGGTCTCTTTTTTTTTTTTTATCCAATAAATCCAACAATATATCGGGTTATTTGGGAAGACATTTTCCCACCTGTTCCCCGAGCGCTTTCAGTAAAATATTATTCCCACCTACAGTTAGACCTACGGGCAGTGTTTATTTAAGATTTCTCGTCTTCACTAGATGTATCTTTGCAATCCATACATGAGTGTGCGAGTCTCCACGGCTCTATTTTGAAAATGTGTCAATTACAGGCCACTGCACCTCAGAGAGGGCAGACAGTAATAGAGATATGTGTGGAAAGAAACAAGTTCTAACAATGCTGCTGCATTTCCCTCTGGTCCTAAAGAGGTCACACATTGCTATGGATATATATTCTCAGATCACTTTAACATTACGCTCAGTCTTTTAAGCTCTAGCATTACAAAAACAATGACAATTGCAAATTTTGAAGGTGTTGAATTCCAATCTCAGAGAATAGCTTTGATTGAAGGATTAGCACACAAGTAACTGTGTTGACTCAAGGGAGTGTGTTTAACTCCAACAACTTTTCAAATTATAAGAAGAGCTTTACCTGGCTAGTTCACTTCATAACAGACCCCGTCTTGTCTGCAACTCTCCCCTGACATCCCTCTCAAAGGAGTGAGATCCGATCCGCTCTTGGCTGAGGCTTAGGGATTTGATCGGTAAATACCAACATGAGTAAATAAAATCAATATGTACAAATGCCAATGATTATTAAAAGACAGGATCTTTAAGAACGTTGAAATCTTAGTGAAAGAATTGAATGAATATCATTATATTTTTTAAAATATAATCATGATCTGATTCTTCCATTGCACCGTCTTCAGACTTTGACGTTAGCAATGTGATCTAGAGTACAAGCTCCCGAAATATACTGCTTACATACATTACTACTGACGAAACCAATTGGTAGGTTCAGAACATCACATCTCATATTGTAATGCAGCCTCTTTAAAATTAAGAGATGACAAAACTTATTACAATATTAAAATTTCAACCTGATATTTTGTCTCGTATGATGATGAAGATATCCAATGGTGGTATTTACAAGACGGTCAGGAGCCTATTACAGTAATTAGCAAACATCCTCGGGGAGCAAGAATCTCCATACAAATCAGCCAAACTGCCAAACTTGCTGTCCCACAAAACAATAAGCGATGCAGAGAGAATGGACCCGTATCAGCTCCAGTTCACTTCTGTATTCATCATTCGTGGGTCTTCACAGTTGACATAAAATAGGATCCCAGGCAGCTGGCTTTTCCGACAACTGAGCACACTTGAATTAAATCTAGTCCCTGTGATCAATAAAAAAAGGCTTGTCTCTGCCTGTGACTGCATCAAGACCCAACAGTTTAGATCAGGGGTCTCAAACTCAAATCAGCTGCGGGCCAGATGCAGCCCACTTCAACCGAACGCGGGCCAGACTAGCGTCCGAACGGCATGGTCAACAATAACACAACTTAACACTCACTTTCAAAAGCAGTCATTGAACCCCACCCTGGGGGATCGGTCCGAATGAGAGTACAACACTAGTCCTCCTTTAACTCAGCGGGGGAGACCTAAGGTCATGTGACCGTGGAATTCCTTTATAGCCAAACGTGAAGTTACGTGAATCGAAGCTGCGTAGTAATGGACGGAGACGCTCGTCGGTGACGTCAGATGCTTCATGTGTTGTTAGTGTGAGTCGTAAAGGAAAACTTTATTAAACGAGCGATGCTAACGGTTAGTCACATGATCACCTGCGCGAAAGAGGGCAGGAAACTGAATTTCACCCTCCTGCTCTCTGCACCTCGGCCGACACACACAACCCGCCCCCCATGTCAGTCACATGCATGCCACGTTCACTGGACAAGCACACAGTAGGAAACCAGAACATCATAACATGTCCCACACAGCAGCTGACAGTGGGGTTACAGTATAAAACTTGCGGGCCGCACTAACGTTACACTTTCATATTATGGATGGGGCCACAAAATATCGTCCCGAGGGCCGCAATTGGCCCGCGGGCCGCGAGTTTGAGACCCCTGGTTTAGATGGTGCTGTCAAGCAGCTTTCCCCGGAGGCTCGCGGTTAAACATTCGGTTGTCACGGAGCGAGCAGGTGACTGGTGGCCTCGTCGCGGAGCACTCTGAGTAACAGCGGCAGAAAACTGATAGGAAGACGGAGCCAGAAGGTCGGTTTAAGTTGAAGATGTCATGGAGCAGATGGCCGCAGGGCAGTGTCAAAGCGAGGGGTGGCATGTAAAGTGTGAGCTTGATAACGAGACGGGGAGTGATCAACAGGACAGCAGAACTTAGATGGAACCTCTTTCCACGGACCCTCACTTTTCTCTTGTCTTTTCTTAGTCCCTGATGGAGATTAAAGTAAAGATTTAAGATGAGCTCATCAGTGCTACCAGAAAGACCTTGGTGACCTTAGGTGGAAATCACAGAACAACAAACACATGCCTACCCTTCATTATTTCGAACACATCTGGTCGCACTCAGAGGCTCTTGTGTATACAGGTACAAGAAAAAAAAGAGAGTGAAATCAAGTTGGAAATATTATTTGAAGTCTTCAGTTGAAAATCCTCCTAATAGGATCCAGCCTTTTAAAACTGGATGATGCTTTGACTCACCATTATTGAATTATCAGTTCTTCTGGATGCACTGGAGGACCCGAACAGGTTTGCATAGTAAAATAGAAGCAGGCACTGCGACTACCAAAATCAACAAAAAATGCAAGTACTTACCAATCATTCTCACGTCAAACCAAACAATGATGTTTTAATTAACATTTTAGTTTTGCTTCAGTTCTGTGATCCGAGAGAAAATATGTTTCCTGATTGAGAATGGACTTCATCTAAATAGTAGTTTGATTTTCAGAAGACTAG